TTATCTTCTCGCACGCCGAGGGGCATTTTGTTTTCTCGTAGCATTTTCTAGATACGGTACCCTTCCTAATCTCCCGCCGAAACGTGCGTCTCGCACACGACGAAACACGTTATGAAACCGTGGAAAAGTCAGGATATTGGAAAGTTTAAATTATCTTTTTCCAAACACGAGGTATTTCCTCGCGATCTTTCAGAACAAACTCAAAGATAATCACATCCCCGTACGATCAACATGAGCGCAATAAGAGTACCTCTTGGTACTCGCAAGAGAGAAAGAGAGAAAGAGGAAGGTGGCGGAGGAAGGTGGATTATCCATGCGTTGAAGTCCTCGTTATACCCAACGTAAGTCCACGCTCAAAGGACGAACTTATCAGTTGAAAAATTGACGAACTGCATGGTCGCGTCCAGCGAAATCTACTGAAAGTGTGTCCCCACAGCCTCATATAATATCCCTCACACGCGATTTTACATCAAAACCTCCGCGGGAGGCTGAAGCGACTGGCCGACATTCGCGACGAAACGTCACGTCCGATCGTCGCGCCAATTCCAGATCGGCGGTTTCACACGCGGGACACACGATGGATCCCCCGCGTTGGCCGGTAACACAAAGAAGAGAAGAGAAAAGCAGCCGAAACCGGCCGCTTATATTTCACCGCGAGCTCTTCTTTCAAGAGATAATGGGAGGTCCGTCCTCTCTCCCTCTCTCTCTTTCTCCTCATTTTTCTCTTTCTCTCTTCACGGCGGTTCCCGCACCTTCCACATCCCGACGCGGCAGCAACCCCGAATCCCACATTCCGCACTTACCTACCTACTGATGCTAAGGTGCTGACCTCCCGCGAGAAGAACGGAACAGCGGAAACCGCGAGGCAGCGTAAAAGACGAAGGAGCGGAGGAGAAGGAGGAGAAGGAGGAAGAGAAGGAGGATGAGGACGAGGACGAGGACGAGGAGAAGGAGAAGGAGAAGGAGAAGGAAGAGGAAGAGGCGGAGGAGAAAAAGAGGAAGAAGTAGAAGCAGAAGCAGCAACGACAGAAGATGACGATGAGCGCGCACGAGGAAGACGGCGGCGAGCAGCGCGGCGTACAACACAAGAGAACGCGACACACAACACAACACACAAGCGAAACCGTGTGTACAGCTTCGCGCGCGCCGGAAACGGCATTAACGAATGCCGCGGCGTGTACGCACGCACTCGCTCGTAAGCGCTCGCGCGAGACACAACGGGGTTATGAGCCGCACACAGGAGGCGACGACGCGTCACGCACACACCAGCGCGTTTGCCACTCACAAGCGCGCGAGCCGCACGGCCGACGAATCGTCAGGCTCTGTCCGGTGGTAGGCGGCATGAGACCTGACACAGGCCAAGCTGTGGGTCAGGCCGTAGAACAAGCGAGGCCCGCCGCGTCGGACTCGACGGATCCTATCAGTTGACGGCGGGCCCTCGAGCGGGCTGGCCGGTTCCCGAAGGGATCGTTCGCGCTTGTGTCGCACGCAGCACGGCGAGGCAGCGCGCGCTGCGCTGCGGAGCTTTGCAGCTGCCCGTCCTATTTCCCAACTCGAGCCACGATCGAATTACCGGCGAATAATCGCGCACCCTCATGCTCCGGGGAGAGGGCTGACTTGGACGATCGGTACACGGCTGCAGTGGCTTCTCGCCTACCGTCCGTGTCTGGGCCCCCAAATGTCAATGGGAGAATAAATGGCTGCTATGTACACAGAATCGGTACAGCGCCGGCCGCCGGGATCCTTTATTTTTCCAAGTTACGACACCGGCTTCGCCGCCGACGTTCGCTTGTTGACTGAGCCCTTAATTGGGTATTAAGAGCTGGGAGATGTTGGCACTTGCGTCTCACACGGTGTAGTTTAATCAGGCGGGCACGTACGGTGTAATTGGAATACTTTAGGATTTCACATGTTTTCCGACCGGTCTTGATGATATTAGAATTATGTTGATACGCGCAATACTATTTATAAGCGCGCTACTTCCCCCCTCCCACTCCATTGATAATAATCTGGTCGCCCTGGGTAACTCCAAGACCCATCGAGTCCAATTTCAACCTCCAAGTGTCTCTCCTTGGCCGGTCATGTATAAAGATTGATTGACCAAGTGACTCTTGTGCTTCCTTAAAAATTTCCCAGAAACAGCGAAAATTTTTTTCAAATCAAAGGACAAGTTGGCCCTTTAATTAATAATACGATAGTATCGAAAGAGATGCCTACCCACGTTACTTCACGTAAGTGGGGGTAAACCGAGAGCGAGAGAGAATATAAACTCGTGGCAGTTGAGAGCAAATAAAGTCAATATTCGCGCCCGTATGTACTTACATATTTATGGCTGCATTAGTGATCCCTAAAGCGGACGGTGCGTCGTTTAAATAAGCTTTACAAGCGGCAGAGAACGTGTAATTTCTCGTCATCTTGCGGAACCTCAGTTTGGAAAGCGCTGATCGGCGGAGAGAAGGGAAGCCCCGAAAGGAAGGCGTCCCTCGAGGATCCCGTGAATCGTGTTTGAAAGGACGAGACGAGCCTCGGAGTCGACGCATACGATGGCTCGTTCGAGTTACTGAATGACTGCACGCGATATGCTCGGAGTATATATGAACGAGGAGACAGAGAGAGAGAGAGAGAGAGAGAGAGAGAGAGAGAGAGAGAGAGAGAGAGAGGTTATAATTTCCCAGATATGTTCGTGGAAATGCATGACGCTCTACGCATAGTATAGTACCTGTCTTTGGCGAAGGAATGTGATTCACGACGATCACTCAGCTAAATTCTGAGTCAACACGTCAGCCGGGTAATGAACGAGGGCGATTTTGGAGGGTATCCAAGCGTGCGACGAAGCTACTGGGTGCCATCTGATTCGATCGTGAGAAATTGCACGCGGAATTTTGCAATCCTCTTGGCTGCAGATTTTTCAAACAGCTCGGATAGCCACGCCACTTTGGCGGATGTACGCCGATGTTTGCACCCGTACCCGTCGTCGTAAGAGACATAGAATTGATCTCACACAATCGTATCACGCATGGTACCCTTGGGGAAGTGAAATTTTATGTGGCGGAATCGAATCGTTGTTTTATTGTAACCTTCGCGTGCGTCGGCTACTACGCTGCGTTATGCAATGTCATTGCGCAGTGGTACTGTAAATCGCGTTTACTGTAGAACCGGCATTTTTCCCCGGCTGTTCATGCAACTTCCGTTCAGAAAACAGTACTTTCCCACTACTGACGTCGTTAATCTATGAATAAAAGAACGATCATTACTGCGGGCATCCATGTATATTTATTTGCGGCGCTAGATCATGAATATCTATCTCGTTGTTCCGCGAATGACGGTGAAGTCCTGCCGAGTCCGAGCAAATATTACCTTCCAAGATGCAGAGATAACTTGAGATGTGCAATTATTGGTGTGTCATAAATAATGTATCCGGCGACACGTGGAGTCCAGATCAGCCAATCGCACCTGACGAAAGCATCATTTCGTCGATGCATGAAAAGATATCTTCCTCTCCTCGCTAAGACTTTCAAAGCCGCGGAAAATTAAGCTTTCGAACTCTGAGAAAATTGTTACCTGCGATTCTTACGTTACGTGACTAGAGAGCCGCTTACCATCGCTACAAGACGCAACATCTCACGTTAGTATCGCCATGCTGACAGAGCTGCGTGCATATTCCCAGCGAAATTAACGGCGCGACATTACACATTCGTCATCCGCACTTGACATTATCACCCACGAACGAAGGAAGTACGGTGGTTTCGCGGCGACCACAGAACGACTAGGACCCTCCGTTATTTCAACATCCACGTCGCCATAAAAATCGCATGTCGCGGTCGCGTAATCCTTGCCACGTTTTGCGGAAAACGAGAATCCTGCACGCGCTCGCGAAGAATCCCAAGCAGGACCTCCATAGCGATCTGTACTTGAGTATCTTTCCACAATTGCCTTATGGTATAATAAATAAATAAATAAATAAATAAATAAATAAATGTATATATATATATATATCAATTGTGTCCCAAAATATTGGATAATTTGAAGAATATGTATACACATACATATACAGAGTGGTTGGGGAGTTCAACAGCCGCGTTAGCATGCGGAGGATGCGCGGTGGCTATGCGCTTTGGAAATGAAGACAGTCAAGATGACGGCCGGTTACGGGCCCACAATCCATTTTGTTGAATAAAAAGATCCTCCGCGGTGTGCTTTTTTCCTCGTGAGCGTTTGAAAATCATTTAAAACAAAACACGACCGAGAGAAACGAGTTCTCAGATATTATCATGGAGATAGCTCGAATTTATCGCATTCCGCGAATAATTCGTGGCCATTGAAAAATCGCATTGCGTGTATCGTAAGTCGGGCCGATACGAAGTTATTGATAAAATGTTTCCGATGCCGTGATAACAGAGATACCGTCCCGCCAATTACACTTACGCGATCGTCCAAATTACACTGCCGGCGAAATATAAGAATACTCAACTCTTTCTCTCTCCTGTTCACCGCAGAACGAGACCCGCGGAGGAAGCGTTATCTGCCTCAAAATTGGGAACACGAATCTCCTACGGCAGTTTGCGCCCGCGAGCGCGATAGTACCAGTCATCCCACTAAATGTTTTACCATTCTAATCGCTCGTTTTTATCAGTAACACAAACACGCGATAAACCTCTTAATCAAGCTGTTATATTTACCGACATCCAATTCTATCTGGAATTAAAAACGAGATAATACCACCGGGCACATTATCTCTTTGCACCTTCGCGATGCACAGCGCGCAAGTTCGGCGCGAGCCGGTCGCAAGCGAGAGAAAAAAAAGCCAAAGCGACGTCCGCCAAAATCAAGCGCGTCCAATAAATTTCGCCGTCGGGTGCAATTTAAGCGACGACGCCGCGCGCGCGCTCTCCAGAGACGGGTTTCCGGACATGCTTGCACGAATATACAAGGCGAGAAGGAGGAGAGGGGGGGGGAGGGTGGGGCGGTCGAGAAGGAGCAAAATAAACAAAACAACGCACCAGCGCAGCTTCACTGCATCCCCGGATGTATTCGGAGCAAGCCCAGACGATAACGCACAGGACCACGTGCTGGACGCGCTCCCAAGGCGGACTGATATTCCCTCGCGGATTCGCTCGTCGATCCTCATCACGGCGCGTAACCGGCGTCGAGAACGGCGCCAGGTAGCGAGGGCTCCATACCCTCCTGGTGGACAGGCCCGGTCGCGATCTCTTCGTGGCCCTCGCTCTCTCACTCGCGGCGATGAGCGTGTTGCGCGCTCCGAAACATGAATGGAATGCTTCCTCCGCCGGCCGATGCACGTAAGAGACGACTACGGATCCGGAATGGAATGGGCCGGGAGACTTCGCGGTTGGCCCAGGGATGGGCCCGGCGCTCGCCGGGCCCTTTACAGGGCTCGGTGTACACCAGGGCTGTAGCTGTGTCCTACACGTTCGTTCGAATCTTCGAGTCGCGACCCCGACAAATATCGTCGATCGGCTCGATCGAGCGCGTCTATGCGCGGCTGATGGCGACGGAACTGCTTCGCTGCTCATTGAGCGAATCAAACGGATCGGGGATAAATGATTGGAAAAAGTGAAGAGTCCCCCCCGTCGGTGTCTCGGGACGCCGAAGGAAGTCGCCGCTGATTCTCGCAGCAAGGACTACCTGCACTCTGGGCTCCCGGTGCGCCGCTTCGCTCGTGTGGGCCTCGGACTGAAAAGTGAAAATTTTGCCCCGGCGTTGAGTTGACGGAGGAAACATGACTCCACTGGCGCGTATCGCCACGAATGACTAACTCCAACTTCACACGGCGCCCAATGATGATAATGGGAGAGCTTTCATGTTTGTCACTGGTTCGGGCAGCCTGCGCGAAATTATCCCGCGTGACGAGCCGCTGATGCACCCAACGCCGCTCGTTTCTGCAAATGCACTAATGCAGTGACGCATACTGCTGCCAGATGACGTATGAATCAATGCCTATTATCGCCGCGTAACAATCATCCCGGAGAGAGCTTTATCTATGCGCCTGCGCGATTCCATAGATTTAAATCCGCACAGCACCAATTCGTAATCAATTGAGGCTTGTATAGGAGCAACTAGAAGCGCAAAGACCAGCTGGTCTTTTATATTTTCATGATCGATGTAATCGTTTCATTCAGGCAGGTATAACCTGCCTGAAACCTGCTCGAACGAACGCTCTTCTGAACGCACTCTGAACGAAAAATGCAGTGATTTCTTCGCTATTTGGACAATGCTGTCTGAACATTCTGGACGAGACAATGTTCTCGAGAGGCATTGGGATCTAAGAGATTGCAGAGAAAACAATTAAAATTAAAATACTTCTCCCCACCCTTTGCCGTCGGTCCGGTATTTCGAGCATCGAGAACCGACAGAAACAGTTTTTAGCCTTTGTGATACAGTGATAGGTTGGAAACGTGCGCCACGCATTCCATAGAGAAAATACGGTGACCCTAGAAATGGAAGGGGGATCGGGTTCCGTTATGCGCGGTTCAACGCGACGACATCGGCGAAGTAGCCGATTTTTTTTCCTTGCGAAGACAAACGCTAGGTTCTTCTGGAATTATTCCAACTGGCCAGGAAAAAGAGAGGCGATACTGGGAGAGAGGGAAAATGTCTTATTTATGAGTCGTTTCTCGGGATACACATAATGGAATGTGGCTTTACGTACCTCGTTTTTGAGCGGAATTAATTTTCAATTTAATCCCTCGGCCCTATCATCTAACTCGTCTCATTTTGATAGGCTCGTTGAAATCGGGAGATACGTATAATGATTGTGACTTGCATACTAACGGAGAATTACGCGTACACGCATAGAGACCGCTCCCCAAGTTTAATTGGTGTGGATCACGCTTGAAATGGTACTACTTTATCGACGAAAGCCACATAAAACGGCTGAAACGTAACATTTACTGTATCTCACATGCGTCCATTATCAAATGCGTACATTACTTATCTTCGTTACGGTATGGGACAAACGTAAAAAATTACATTAGGAGGCTCTCAAATCGTAATGATTAAGGCCCATAATGGCAGACATGTCTTGACGCTGCGCCAAGAACACCTGGTGTCCGTCTACACCTGGTTACTTATAAAGCTCCTTTCATGGCATTTCGGCTTGGTACCTCGAAAGGGACACGGAGCAGGCACAATGAGCCGACTGTACGTCGTGTAGCCCTGAGAACACGCCGATATGTCCTCCTTATCAACGCGTCGTAATGGCATACCGCCGGCACTTCTGTCTCAGCGACGAGTGACGTCGCTGGATTCGTCCAGAACAATTCTCCGCCGGCCAACTGTCACATACACACGCACACACAACACATCCGCAGTGCTTTAGGCAACGAGCTAATGCTGCAGGTGATGTCGCTCGTGATATCGACGTACACAATAGCCGAGCAGCGATGTTGCGACAATTCAATCCGGTTGATAGTGTTAAGCGCTCACGCTGGCACTGCCGGCATTTTCCTATGCAACATGCGAGTAGGACGCGCTTCTGGCTCCTCTATTTTCATTCCAGCGCGGACCGAACAATGGGGGATCTAAATTGAGCAAAAACCAGTCTGGCGTCTAGTTTGGTGAGGTCGGAGGCATTCTGATGCCTCAGTGGAACCAGAAGCAGCGCTAGGAGGGTAGTGAAAAGGTCTCCTTGCCTCCCCTCGCCCCGAGCCGCCTGCTTCGGGCGAAAGGGGGCCAAGAGGGGCCAAGGGGCAGTCGATGGTCCCACAATACGGAGCGGGTCGCACAAAGCGACCCGACAGGCAGCCGCGCGATCGATCCGGCGAAGACGGCTCCGGTGTCGCAGTGCCCACAAGAGCGATCAGCTCCGCGAATGAAAGTGGCAATTAACAGCGGCGACGAAGGAATGTACCATTCCCGTGTCATTCCGGCGGTGTCCGGCCGGTTCGTTGCACCCTCAGCCGGTTATGACACACCATGGGTCTCTTGTGTCCTATGTTCTTTTGCTTCTCTTCGATCTTTTGCCGAATATTATCCGTAGCATTTTTTCAGCGTACAGCTCGCGCCTATATGCAGTTATTCTTGGAAGAGCTGCAGGGTTGCTCGGCGTTTAGGACCTGAACGTGTCGGAATGTGGCCTTTCGGAAGAAGGATGTGCCGGTCGAGCGAGCTATGTCGCAGTCGGTCGTGTGCTTTAGAGCGTGCGTTTATTGATAATAACGGGGATTGGACGTTACATATTAGGCTTAAACGTGTTTTAATATTTTACATTTTTACCTTGACGGTATATGTTTGGTAATTTTTATATTTTATGTTTAACATACAGCTTACAAATATATAAAATAAAATTTATCCACGTACTGTATGCCTACTGATAGTAAAGAAGAAAACTCAGGGTAAGAAGTTCAGATGTGGTTATCATCTGAGCTAAATTATCTTTTAAAATTCTATAAAGCATCAAATAACATATTTTTAAATAAAAAGATACATATCAATAATTACTCCAATAATACTTTAGCAGTACAATCTTTTCGCCATGTTGTTAATCGGTTCCTTTGGAAAACATTAACGTATAAAGCTATTGAATCTTTCATTTAATCGAGACTCAAACCCTACTTTTGCCAAGAGAAATGTGATGTCCGCATGAAAAAATTTGGGCAATTGCAAATGAAATTTGCATTAGGATTCGTATTTGGGTATGCACCTCATTCTTGCGGCATGAGGCTATTAAAGTCAATTTGGGATTTGTTCCCGTAGACTTTTAAAAAGCTTAGCAATGCGGCTCTTATTTCTCAAAGTGTGTGATTCCAAAGTGTCCGCTACGAGCCGCCACCAATTCTGTCAACACATTAAGGTCGTACGATAATTCGATGCGAGACAGACGAACTTTTATTTTCAAATAATACGACTCGACGACGGATTAGATGAACTTTTATCTGTTGACAGTAACGGATCGGCAATAAGTTGGACAAGCTTTTTGTCATCATGCAGTACGGCTCTACGACAGATTAAATATACCTTTCATCTTTTCTCATCTCTTCTTTTCGTCCTCGCTGAAACGTCTCTCAGATAGACGTGTAGTTTGATGTATCTCATGAGAAAGGACTAAACGGCGCATTTTCCAACAAAGAAGTACCATAAACTCGACAACAAATATTTAATTCGGCGATATAAATAAATGTTGAATGCACACGAGTGAGATTCGCAGTCGCTCACGCGACGATAATTCCCTTGTCATTGTATTTTTCCTTTTTTTTTCCCGGATGAGAATCAGTTACTGACCGAGTAATTTCATGCATACTTGGCCAGGGCTCTACCCGTTACGTAGAAATGCAATTTTAATTCTCCATGTGCCGTATATCGCAATGCGGACAATCCCACTGAGGTTCCTGTAGTCGCATATAGGAATGGGTGTGCCGATATACGTGAGGTCCATCAGCAAGTATATCCTGATTTTCGATGAAGGAGCAATGTTTTTCCGCCGATGCAAACAAACATTTTTACGCATTGTTTAAAACGTTTATTATCTGATCCCTCGGAGTTTTCTTATCCAGCCGTACCTTTGTACTTAAGCTCGCGCGAAACTTTCATCTACGTGTACTTCTTTGTTTCTAACATCGCTAATAGAAAACTTATATTGTACGAACTATGAGGAAACTTACAAGCTGCATAAATTCCAGCTCTGCTCGCGCTGAGCTGAAAATCAATTTTTTGCCATGTTGTTAATCGGAAAATTATTTGAAGTATTCATGGTAGCTCAAACATTCCAACCCGCTTTTACCGTGTCGAGAAAGAAGAAGAAGAGGAGGAGGAAGAAGAAGAAGAAGAAGAAGAAGAAGGCGAAGAAGAGGAATGCAACTGTACAACGACACATACGTGTCCGTAACTTCACGTCAGCGAAAGAGAGATGCAGAACTATCAGAAAGCAAGAGAAGTCCGTGACGCACGATTCGCAGCTGTCAAGCTTTCACAAATTAGCAACGAGTTAGAAAAGCAGGCTGACTAATTCTACATAAGAAAGTAATATACTCGGATGATTCCATTTTCACCGGATTGTGAGAGTAGAACGTTGTTCTCGGTATAATTGCGTTTACCCTGCAGTTGCATATAAAGAAAAAGATCAGAGACAAAACCAAATATAAAACAGTGGGAGAATATGAAATATAACACATAGAAGTGAGTATAAAAATCGAGGGTAATAAGATTATCTCATGACTAAAAAAAATAAATAAATAAATAAATAAAAAGAAAGAGAACAGATTCGCACTTTTTCAGAATGTCTATAAATGTTGATCCACTTGCAGGACTTCAGCTTATCGTGACAACAATTGCGTACGATCGAGACACGAGCGTTCGTTCTGAAGCGTAAAGAAGTACACAGCCGGCCACAGAGACGTATCGGACATGGACTTATCGCAGCAACGGCAGATAAATAGTAAGGCATCGGTACATCTTGTGTTTACTGAGTGTGAAAAAATATGCTGGTGCGTGTGCGTCTGCGGAATTCAGTTATCCCATTGTACAGCTGACCAATTTTCGGTTACGTTACGTTCATTAATAAAGCAAGAGAGAGAGAGAGAGAGAGAGAGAGAGAGAGAGAGAGAGGGGTATGCACGCCTAGAAAAATTTTATCTTCCTCGATGGTGAAGTAAAAGGAAGCGGAGACTGCATGTTTGAAATTAAGATACCAATCGCGGTACACGTACGTGTGCGTTGCATGTTTGCGAGCGTTGCATTTATATTACATTAAACTAGCCAACGAGATTGTGTCCAATTTAGCAATTGCGGCCACGTGAGAGAAGCTGAAATAACATTAGACCTCCGTTCGCGAGATCTCCCTTCCCCGCAATCATCAGAATTTGAGAAACGCCACGTCACTCGTCGCACTTCGCCGTGCTGCGAGCGAGACAAAGAAGCCCTGCTTGAAAAGAGACGAAAGAGATAAAGAGGCGAAAAAGCACGAGGCTCAATTAGGGATTCAATTTTCGCAACATCGCGGGAAAGAAGCGACGCTAATGACATTTCGGTGCGAGAGCGAGGCTCCCATGCGAGGCACGATGCATCCGAAGAGTCCCGTTAGCCGCGTATGTGCGCCCGCCTGACTCCGCGTGCATTAAACAGTTCGCTTAATTACTCGGCTGTAGATGGGAGTAGAATTTGAGCGGTGTTGGGACTCGCGTTATTGGGAGTAACGCGCGCGGGCTGCGAAATAAATCGTACGCACTTGCTCTTTTCCGCCGAGGAGATCTGTTAATTAGGAGAAAACGCAACATTGACGAGAATCGTGAGATAACGCGGTCGGATTGTCGCCGCGATTAAGAAGAGATTATCAATCGCTTTACCTATCGCTTACCTATAGCTATCGATAACCACTCTTTGTCGCTCGATTATCCATTATTTTTTATCTCTTTTATGTTTGTTCTTGTTCCTTTTTTCCTGTTTTCTTTTCAGCGACTGCGGATGCGAACGAAATGACGAGCTGCAAAGCGCGCGTCTTGGCGAGGAGCGCGACGGCGCGCAAATGCGCGCTCGCAACGTTCCTTAATAATAGCAATCGTAAAAATGTGCGTGTGACGAGAAAAATGGCTCGGTTGACAAGCGTGGAATTAGAAGCGCACGACGATGACTCCGCGATATCGTGCAATTTCGTTATCCCCCCGCGCTCTTCTCCGTTGATGCGCCATTACGACGCCGCCGATCCGCTCTTTTCAACGTGTTCCCGCGCACCCGAGCCCACCCGGCGTCGTGTATCCACTAATAAACCCTGCCACTGTTGAACAACATAGCCGCGTCGCGTGTTAATCAAGCCGTTCCTCCCGCATCGCCGCCGCGGCAGATTTGTCGTGTTAAATGAATGAAGAACCAGGAAGCCGCGAAAAACGCGGAAGAGACCGGATCGCTAAACGTTAGACGCGTAATTTAGCGTGAACTTAAACGTACGATATAATAAGCGGCCATTATCTTCCACAGCCTTCTCGTCCAGGATTGTTATCCGCGTATACAATATACCTTGCAAATTCGAATTTGGATCTGTCGCGCGTTTCGCGAATCGTGCGATGTGGACGTTTCGTCGAGGCGCACGTTGAACAGGCCCACAGTGGGACGAAACATAGAGATGTGCGGACGTCGTTTGCAGGCAAAATATAGCGGAAAGCTGAATATTGGGATGAAAACATTTGGTCAAAAGACGATTACTCATGAACAAAAAATTAACTTTTCAAATGATTAAAAGATTATTGTTTTACAATTCGTTGAAAAATGCGAGATACAAGGAAACTGATAGCGTCATTCGATTCTACGGGAAAAACCACATAGAATCCATGTGCTGGACAATTTTTTCTCAACTCTATTTATTAATAAAATAAAAATGTCTCAGTAGGTTGTCTTCTACCGCCGCACACAGTGGATCGAAACTTCAAATTCTGTGGACATCGACTAAAATTTTGTTCGGAAGCAAAATTTTGTGCAGGAATAAGTTTTAATGAAATTAATTTTCATTAAATATTTTATTTATAATATTTTTGTACACCATTTTGATAATAATAGTATTGTATCGAATATATATAAATATATAGTGTTTCAACAGCTATCACCACGTGAAGGTAAGGAACAAGCTAGCCTTGAGCAAGTTACATCAAATTTTCTTACATAAATTCAACTAATAAAATATTTGTTACATATTTTTGAAAATTTTAAGATTAAACAATCTGTATGAAAACACAAGAGAAAATTGCAAGACTAGTGGATTCTGTAAAACAAAATTCGTGAAAACAGCCAAGGATAACAATGCAGCATAGAGGTTCTTTGCAAATCCTTTGATTATGTGTGTATGAATAGAACTGGATTAAACAAAAGGACTATTCGAAATTTTGCGATTCTTTTTCAATCCGTTGCAACAGATTGAAAGAAATTGATGTCTTGTTTCTTATCTATGTGACGCTGACTTGAAACCAAACAGGAATATTTAAAATTCAATAAAAACAAATATTGTTATAAAAATATTATGGAAATATAAATAGAAATTTTACTGAAATTTTCATTACAAATGATTTCTGGGCGAAATTCTGTCTCTGAACCGAATTTTCATTCATGTACAATTGTACATAATAAATTAGATGTTTTCTATCCACTATACGATGTATAGGAGAAAAGATCGCACGAGATCGCAGCTGAAACCTATACGGTTTTTTACTGTATGAATGGTCTTTTTAAATCCTATTTAGTAGATCTTGAACAAATATGAACATTTTTTTAAATTATTCGATAAACATGTATGAGTTGAATTACGATTTTGTTCTAATTCATCATAGAGAAAAATGCGTAAAATATAACAAAATCTGGCAACGGATATGATAAAAATATTCTTGAAGAACCATAGAATAGTGTACCATAAGATAGACAAGGATCGATAATTATTTATATAAAATACATCGAATGGACAACTTGTGCTTAACACATTTTACTTATCACAGAAACTCGAGACTTTAGCCGCTTACGGTACCTATGTTACTCATTACTTTATATTTTCTGCATTCGGATCATATATTAGAACTATTTTACAATATATTCTAGTAGATGAAGTTGCGAAATTCGAACTTTTATTTTCGGCTCGATGTCCACCCTTTTCACCGTTTCGATTCACTGTGAGGCCCGAGCGCAGCCCTAAGAGAGATCGAGCGTGGCATTCTCGCGAGGGGATTCCCGCTGGCGACACGCCCCGTGGACTCGGCCGGCCAGACCTCTGCTCCAGATCTGCCGAAAAATTTCACCTGCGCTCGTTCGTTTGACGAAACCGATGGAACGTGGACACCGCGGCCGCACCGCCGAGGCCGGTGTAGCCGCGCACCAGTCGCACAGGTAGACACGCTCCGCCGCTGAAGGCGGCGTCGGGAGGAAGAGAGAAAGAGCCGCGATAGTGGGGAAGAGCCGCTCTATAGAGGACGAATGGTGGTAGAGAAGCGGGCATGGTGGAAGTCAGCCAGAGAGACGTGACGTACATACTCGCGACGGCGGTGTACAGTGCACCATGGTGCGTGGCTATGGCATAGTTAAAGTGGGAGAAACCCGCGTATATGACCGTCCTCAGGCGCGAGCCAGTCCCGTGTGAACGACCGTGAAGTGAACCTCGGACCTCGGATCGCTGGTGCGCACCTGAGGACCTTGAGGAGGCTGCAGGATAGACCAGCGATGGCGACACTGGCCGAGGAAAGTAAACGACCGTCGTCGGTGCGCTCTCCCGCGAGCGGGCCGATCTTCATGGGATGAAGAGGGACGCGCAGACCGCGAGAGATCCCGGAGCGAGCGTCCGGACGTTCCTTTGCCGCGGGGAGAAATTCGTCGGTCCAGATTTCACGTTCGGACCTCGTTCGGCAATGTGCGTTACGTCCCGCGAGCGTCCGCCGCAGCGTGAATCGAGCGCGGTGAAATTGCGCCGAGGTGTTTCGAATGCGAGTCGCCAGACGGGGGGCGACCGTCCGAACGGTAATTAGCTCGTTCGCTCCGCGTCCCGCCGATGACGATCTTTGCGAAGCGCACGCGATCAGCTGTCGCGCGCACTCACGAAAGGTGATCGTCGATTTGTCGAGCGATTTGACTTCCGTCGGTGTGTGCCGTTCTCCGATACGAAAAGGAACGCTCTGCGCTTCCGGCACGGCCCGAGGAGACTCGTTTGAATTCTCACTCCAGCGTCTGCTCGTTCACTTGGAAAGTTGACATTCGCATTCATCCGGTGATTGTATCAGACTCCAACCTGCTGGCGATCGTTTCTCCTTGAACTTGTGCGCGGTTGTTACATTGACGGGCAATTTTCAACAGTTGACCCGAAGTTGCCCCTGCGAGGACCGAGAGAGAATCACGCGAGCTCCGGTAAGCACCGAAAGCAGTGACTGTTCCGCCAAGTCGCAGGATCTAAAACGACAAGTCAATGACAAGCGGTCAAGAGCAAGCGCGAGTAAGGCGAGTTTCAGCCTCGTCGGTTATTAAGCCAAAGTCCGGCGCGGCGCTTTGACGAAAAACCTGACGTGTATACCGGACTGATCCGCCGCCAAGTAGGTCAACCAGTGTGTGAGAGTGCGCGGCTGAGTGAGTAAGAGAAAAAAGGAACGAGAGAAGGATAAGCAAGAGGAGGGAGACGAAAGGGGAAAGAAAGAATGGTGCGCCGCAGGCAGCGTCCGTGAAGTCGGTTCTCCTGATGCCCGGCGGCTTGCTGTAAGTTCGTTCCAACATGGCGAACATCGGTAGTCAGCACGGCTCATATCGAATCGGCTACGAGCGATCCGGCCGCGCCGAGTCCTGAAGGGCAGTCCATGCGGCATTCCGCGCGTCCTTGACATTCGCATCTCTGATCTTGCCAGAACGAGCGGGGCAGCTCATGGCGACCATGACGGGTCCGACAGGGTCGAAGGTCCTCGTGACCTTGACGACCCTTGCACTGTTGCTCGGTAAGTTTGACGGAGGTTGGGATAGGGTAGTGAGCCGTCGCAGGGGGAGGGGGGAATGGCGCGATTAGACGGGATCCTGCTGATGTTAAGCGTCCTGTGCAATGAATTGCAAGATAAATCGAGCAAATTAGATGAACAGAGCTTGACCGCGGAACCAAATGCATCTCGATTTACATCCGCGCTCATCGCAGCTTTATTCCATGAGCTATGAGCAAACGAGCGGCGTGGTTACTTGCGACTTCCTTTGTCATCGCTCGTCTAATTATGGAAATAATTATAAATAAACGTATACGATGAAATACACGACTGGATACATTACCAATGACTTTGCCAAATTCTTGCTCACTCGTTGATACACTGCGGAAATTGTTCAGCTTCCTAGCTGATTTGCGCGTCATGCAAAGGTGTGATTGTTCAAAGACGCGCTCGGAGACATCAACGACCGCAGCCATGACGCCACCGAGGCGACATTAACACCAACAGCGAGAGCCTTTCCATGCGCTGGCGTTGCGTCCGGCATTGCATGCATGAGTCGACCACTGTAATTTACTGGGAAACTCGAGTACGTTGAACCTGTCCGATAGGTTTTCGAAGTACCCATGTGGCGGTGAGCTTGAAACCAGTATCTTGACCTCCACCGAAAATTCCCTGGACGTTCCGCGAATACCGCGCCGACATTTCGTCAAGTTACACGCGGTTGTTGAACAGTCCAAGGGCGCTTAATAGTCCCTGCTGGTATCTCTGAGGAGAACCAGAACGTACGTCATCAAGTTTTGGTGTCGTTTGGTCTCCACTCGTATCGTCCAAAGGAATTGCCACGTGATGTTCTCGAGCGTCTCTGAAAGTCACGCTTTGGGTACTTGGAGAGAAAGCCGATGTTGGCTCTTGGCTGATTTAATTTGACTTTAGCCGCTCGCTGGATTTCAACGATTAATTCGTCCATTTATTGTCGATTTCTTGCTGGGCAGTTGCAAGTACGTTGAAAATCTGCAACACTCCGTCGCGGTAATTGTAATAATAAATGTACTGCGCCGTTATGCGCCTGTACGTGTGCGACAATGGCCATTATTTCGAAGAGAAATAAAAAATTTACGTAAGCGCGACACGACGCATGAGTGGAAACATATATCCGGTTCCGCAGTGACGGAGTATGCGTCACTGCTACCTGAAGAGATAAGCACTCTAGTATGAGCGTCGTTTGCAGTCGCGCACACCCGGCTTTAATTTTACGCGAATCGTAAAATCCGACTCTCACAAATACGGTTCACGGGATGAATCGCGCAGTTACGAAATATACTCGATAATGCGGGCGACGATAATTACGAAGTAGCAATCTCGGCGCAAAGCCAAATGACGTTTCGAGTGATCGAGCTGCAGCGAAATGCGTTGGTTATTACGTGAAAATAGACGCGTCGAAATGAAGATGCAGTTTCAAAATTTCCAAGTGAAACTCTTCTTGAAGCAAAAAACGTTGAGAAACGTCAAAATAAAAATCGCGTGGCGTAAGGATATTTAAAGATTTGAGCAGATCAGGCTTTCGGCTATTTGTGAAAACGCAGCTACGCAGCGAAGAATGGATCCACTTGCGGTGAAGATAAAATAATCTCAGTCAAGCGCGCTCGCTTGAATAAAATTCGCGTCGGGGAGATAAGAATGTCGTTAAAGAAAAACACAATGTGCCAAGTTACAAGCGTATCCGGCTGGCGTCGCGGGAGAAAGCTGCTGGCATGACGCGCGCGCGCGCGCTTTTACGTCCAGGCGCATACCTGTCTCCTGCAGATACTCACGTGCCAGTTGAAAAAATCACTGACGTTCACACAAACGCGCGTACGTGACTTGCCAATACAGCCAATTAAAGTCCGCATAAAACTGTGAGGATCGAACGTCGTCTCTCATCACTGGCATATGAATTAGCGCGGATTACGCTCGACAAGTGTGCGACACTTAGATCGAGTCGCCTCAAGTACTTTTGACAACACTTCCACCGGAGAGACAGCCAGCCTCCGCGTTGCAGTTCACTATTAAATTTATCTACTTATTATCAAATTTATCTTCTTCTCTTCTCTTCCTCGTGAGCAATAAATTTCTCTTCGATCCATCTCCATACACCTTGTTAATTCCATCATGCATCTTCTTGGATGCATGCAACTTCGCTACTCCGTTAATTGTGAATTTATTTCATCTAACGAAGCGGACGTTTCAGTCATTGACCCCGTCAAGGGGCTTACGCAATAATTTCATGTATTTAATCTCGCTCATTTCAAACTCGCTGGTCCGTGTCGCGAGACGCTAAAATTCATCGCGATCGTTATCTCGTCCCGCCGCGGATTTTCACTGGGCGATGTCTGCGTAAGAATTTATCGGAATACCGAATGAGATAACGGTACAAGCGCGCCCGTGCGCACGAATACAAAGTGTTATACAGCTGAGAAAGTTTCTCGATACTTGTTGCGCCCGATGAGCGATTTCTTTACGGTGAAAGAGTCATCGATTGACGTGTCAGTCGCGCGCAGCTTTCGTAAGTTTTACCGTTGCCGCGCCGCGCCGGGCTTCTCCTGTTTACGCAAGAGAAGACATTTGCATGAAACCACTAACAACGTCATCGTCAACGCGCGCGGGCGCGCAGGAGCAACGACATCGCGTATCCGGTATAGAGTTTCATCACTCCCCGACTTTCGCCCAAACGTACTAACCGTGAAAGTGTCACGAAAATGCTGTATATATATATATATATATATATGTATACATAAAGCAAAACGAGATCGGCTCGCCTCTCGACGAGGGCAAGAGGAGCGCCATGGCGCGCGACACTTTCGAAAGCGAAGTACGAATTTGCATCTCAGTCGCGGAAGCCGACGTTTACGGCACGTGACAAAAATTGCGCGGAATCGCGTGCGCTCTCGCCGCGTCACGATCCACTCAGTCGTCGCAGGACAATTTATGCCCGTTTGACTGTACTGTCACTTTCACGCGGGATACGCATTCTCGCTGGCGCAACTCGACCGCACTCGGCATTGTAAAATCGCAGCGGATGGAGGCGGAGGGCGGTACCGCGTGGAGGAGTCGTTACGTACTTTTTTTTTCTTTTTGACGGCCGAAAGGACAAATATTGGGCTCGAAAATGGTACCGTTAAGTCTGCCGTTACCGCCTCGAGAGACGGAACACACCTCGGCCTACCGCGCTCAAGGATGATCCTTTCGTCGCTTCTCTTGCGTCTCCTGCCGAGCTGGTGTCTCGACGGGACGATTATCATGCGAGGTCGAGCGTCGCTCGAGTAGACCTGGTGCGTCCGCGGTTTTCCATTTTATATGTCACCTGCGAGAGGAGGCATCGGGTCGGCGCGGCGGAGCGGTTCGAATCCATCAGCTCCGCGCGACGAAAACAATATGATCGCTCGCGATTCAACGCGAGAGCTCGACGCTGCTCACTTTGTGGGAAATTTCCCGGGGCCGTGCGAATCAGACCGATCGGCCAAGACAAGCCGGCGACTCTCCCATGCTCGTCGCTACTTCCTCGCGCTCCTCGGGATCGCGCCGTCGCGACGGCGCGCTTAGGCCAATATTATTATTACCAATGTCCTCAACCGAGACGGTAATGGCGGCCGAACCTCCAGGCTGGCGATATTTTTTATCATCAAGAGAGAGAGAGAGAGAGAGAGCTTCAGCCGAAATACACACTCGGTGCGGACTTTGAGTTGCGAGCGATTCGACGCTCTCGACGAGCTAATTACCGCTGGAAAAAGTATCACCGTTCCGCGGAGCGTCGCGCCGCGCTGCCTTGGTCACTCTCTCGTTGCATCTGTCCCTAGCTAATTATTTCGAGTACTATTGCGTGCAGACGACGTTTCGTTCGGCCAGGCCAGGATGACGAAAGGAGAGTGCCGTCGAGAGTGGCCGCCAGCTTGAACCGCCGTTCCGTCAAAGATGCAGAATATTCCAGTCTTCAGGGCCGCGAGAGAGCCTGACGTGACTGCATTCCGTTCGTTACGACGGCGGCGCTTGCTATGCGATTCACCTACATTCTCACGGCTCTCCTGGCCGCCTCGCTTGCTATTAGAGAGAAAAAAGAGAGAGAGAGAGAGAGAGAGAGAGAGAGAGAGAGAGATCGTAATGCCCGTGAACTCCGTTACACTTGTTTACAGCACACGGACTGTAAAAATATCCCGCCGATGGAAAACGACGCTTGGCCGCGTCGTGACCGCGACGAGTGAAACGATCGGTTGCAATTTTAAATAGACTTCATTCACGCGCCGACGCTCGTCGCCATCGGTGTCATCGGCTGTAGACTGCAGAAGAGCACCGGGGGAAGGGCAGGGGTAAGAGTCGATTAAACGTTAAGTTTGATTGTATGTTGCGACTTGGATGAAATTTCACCGTCCGACAGGACGACGCCCTGAAACTCCTCCGCTTCCTTCCGTGTCCTCCGAGATTGAGACGGTCCTCGTGCTTCCCGCGGTACATTCCGCGCGTCAATAAGGACCTCGCGTGCTGCGTCGCAAGCCACGTTTGTCGCAGCGGCTCGATTGTAACTTCAGCATGCCGCCTGGGTCTCGGTAAACTATGTTTGTCCCTCGGCAGTTTTACGACGACGGCCGGCACACATCCTGCGGAATAACTGTGCGGCAGTTAGGAATTTTTGTATGCAAACGCACGTGCGCGTGCGAGGTATTGTATTTTAATTAGAATTAAAATTACACTCTTCCGCGCGCGTGCACTCGCTCGTTTGTACGCTCTCGCGCGCGCGCGCACACACACATACATACACACATGCTCGTTTATTACGTGTACACCAATTGTCAGCTGCTCTTCTGCAGCAACATGGTTCGCTCGCAATTACGGTGTATTATCCTGTTACACGGAATGTCCTACTATTGTGAGCATTAGGCTTGCGACTTTAGTTGTATCTAGAGCCACGGCTGCGATCTATATAATTGCGCTCGTAACGCATACATTACACCTCGCTGAATGCCATCGAGAGGGTTGCCGTGAGAATGTAGGTA